CAGTCTGTCATATCCCACAATCTGGACCCACAATCCATAATATTCCCACGCCTTCTGAGCCTATGTCCAGACCCCATTTCATATCCAACTCATTCCCAGATCCCCTTCCGCTGTGTACCCCACACCTCAGCAGGATCAACTCCACTCCAGATTTACCCCTGAGCTCCAGACCTCCGAATCCTCACTGCTAGCCTGATCCATACCACCCTATGCATACTCCATCCAGCAAGACATCTGGACTTCACCTTGTCTCAGATTCCAGACTACATCCACCTCCTCATATCCCGGTCCTGTATCCACCTCATCTTCCAGATCCCCAGATCTCCAGACCTCTGGATATTAACTCCAGACCTATTCCCACCCTCTGTGCCTATCACCATTTAGGCATCTCTGCCTTTCTGGCTTTTGGTTACCTCTTGTTCCATCTTGCTTATTGATCCTTGTATGAGTATTTGGTGGGCATCAAAATTTCACCTAGCATGGATCTCAAGCAATCGGTCTGGTTGACATAGTGAACCAGATGGGGGATGGCGTCAGAGTCAGATAGTAGATGTGATAAGGAGGTGGACTTCCATCCCATTGCCTGAGCTAATGCATGGTGTGCTGGCTGGTACTGTGGGCATTCAAAAAGGTAGTGATGGATGGTTTCTTTGGTTTGTGGGCAATGGGGGCAATCCAGCAAGGCTGTTTTTGTGAATTGGAATAGGTGCTGATTCAGGGGGAGATGATGGGTGCGTAGTCCAAGAATGAGACTGGTGAGGTGTTTTGAGAAGGAGGATATGAGTTTGATGAAGGAGTGTTCAATGGTAAGAGGGTCGATGTGCTGGAGACATTGATGACAGGGGGAGGTGGACCACTGCCTGGCCCATCTGGCGTGAGTACATACCCTATGAGCTTGCTTGATTGCTGAAATGCTAAGTGGTAGTGAACCATCACAAAGATACAAGGGGAGATGTGCACAGGGACTGCTTCAGTGTCTTCCTTCCGCTGCTGTTTTGGCTGCCTTGTCTGCTTCCTCATTTCCATGGACCCCCTTGTGACCAGGAACCCATCAAAGTGTGACACAGAAGTCCAGGTTATTGCATTTAACTCTTCTCATCATTCTCTGAAACTTGGTCACTAAATAGGAGCCCAGATTGGAGTAGAAGCTCTCACCAGATAATATGGCAGCTTGGTTGTTGACCAAAATAGACATTGGAAAGGTGAGATCCTGTTCAGTAGCTATGAGCGTGGCCGCCAGGGTGAGACCAACCATTTCTGCCTCAAAAACAGTGTGCTCCTCATCAGTGCCTAGATAATAGTGGAGGGTGTGAGGGCGGTGGCCTGCATGAAACAGTATTGCTGCTGCTCCAATGTGACCATCATGTCCTGAGCCATCACTGAAGACTTGGATGTTGTCCTGCAGTTCTTGATATTCAGTGATGGCTTCTTCTCTGGAGCTAGCAATATGCATGGCATAGGGGCAGGTGGAGGTGGGGGCACGATGAGCTGGGATGAGGGCTTCAATTTCATCAGGATTGAGACAAAAAAAGTGGGTGAGATGGTGAAGAGAGGATTGATGGGACAAGACATAGCACTTAGCTGCCCTCCTGATTGCATTGTGGAGAGGGTGGGTATCCAGGTGGGTGGCCATTCTGATTGTGGCATGGTGACAAGTGTTCTGGAGCAGAAGAGTCATGGGGAGAAGGTTAGTGTGCACTTCCAGGATGTCAGTAGCAGTGCTCCTCATAGCACCAGTCATAGCTATGGCAGCAATGTGCTGGATGGAGGTAAGTTTCTTGGCTACCCCCAATGGTCCTCTCTGTAGAGTGTCAGTGCCTTCTCGGAATGCTAGCATGATCCGCCACATACAGCATCTTGGGGACTGCTGTGGCCATGTAGAGTTGCCTCATGAGGCAAAGCAGGATGTCTTTGGATATGGTGGACAGACGTTGGAGCTGGAGGACATACACTAGGCCCTTGGCCAGTGCATTGTCTACTTGAGCCTTCCACCACAGTTCTTGGTCAAGAATGATGCCCAGGAACTGGTGGGTGGGAGATGGGTGGATGATGACCCCATGGAGGTGCAATGCTGGGTGTTTGCAGTTCCTGTTCATAGAAAAGTCAATCAATGCAGATTTGTTAGTCTTGAACTGAGAGTTATGGTCCCTCGACCAATCAAAACCTCCACCCAGGCATTCCAGCATATCCTTGAGGATGCAGTGGGTCTTGGTGAAGTCCTTACCTATGGCCACCAGGGCCATGTCATCGACAAAGGCAAGGGTGAGTTCTGCAGGGGATGCACATCCTTGTCTGGGCTTGGCAATGTCTACTAAGTCAGCACTATAAATAATATATAAAATCATTGAGAGCAGGTCACCCTACCCTATACCATTGTCAATGTTGATCCAGTCCAAAGTAAACCTGTCGCAGTGCAATTGGGTCTTGTTATCCGTGAGAACTTGCTCTGTAAAGCTGATTAGTTCAAGTGGTAGTTGGCATGTGCGCATGTTGTGGAGCAGGCACTTGGTGACTGCATTCAGGAATGTGCCTTCAATGTCCAGAAAGAGGACAGAGGCGACTTTGTGCAATTGCCAGGCATTCTTGATGGCATGTTCTAATAGGTGGAGGGAGTCAGTGGTGGAGCGTCCAGGACAACCACTGAAGTGAGTGTTCGGCAATAAGTGATAATGTTCTAATAAATATGTTAGTTAGTTAGCAACAACAGCAGTGAGTAATTTGCATGTGGTATTAAGTAAAGTGATGGGCCAGTAAGCCTTTGGGATAGTGTAGTTCAGTTTTCCTGGCTTCTGAAGGACGACTATTGTGAAAGTCTTCCAGGGGGCATAATACGTATGATATGTGAAGACAGCATTGAAGAGATGGACTAGGTATGGGGTCAGTAGATCAGAGCACTGCTTAAATACAATGTTCCAGATGCTGTCAGGCCCTGGAGCCTTATAGCTGCTCAGCTTGGAGATAGTGCAGGTAATCTGGTCTGAGGAGATGGGTGTGTGAGGAGCTATGGGGTCAGGATATATAAAGTCAGTAGGGACAGAGTCAGTGGCAGGAGGAGGAGGGAAGAAGGCCTCTGCAATGACAGCACTTTTCTCAGCATTGGTGGTTGCCTCCATTTCACCACTGTCTGGTTGCTTGACGACAAGGGTAGGGATACGTGACTTGCCCCCATCACTGGGCTCAGATAAGACATAGCAGTTGATGGTCCAGAGGTCATTGCCCTTGATATCTTCTAGCCAGTCCACCCAGTGTTGCTTCTTGGTGTTGGCTATTTCCTCAGCATATTGATTCTTGAGAGCCTTGTACTCCATGTGGCAAGGGTGGTCATGTAGGTCACGCATTTGGTGGGATTTGCAACTGAGTTGCCCTACCTGTTGGCAAAGGTCAGAGAGGGTGCAAGTCCACCAATGCTTGGAGTGAGGGCAAGGCTTGGATTGAGGTACACATGCATCCATGGTGGATTTGATGGCCTGCATGACAGTTCTGGCCAAGTGCTGGAATTCATCAGCTGATGCGAGTGGGAGTGGCAGGGTGGGGGCAAGTGTCGTCCCTAGGACATCCTTGAAGTGCTCCCAATCAATCTCATACCAGTTAGGTCATGGGGCATTATCTTTATGGGGGACCTCCAACTTGAGTGATAGGAGGATGGGTAGGTGGTCAGTCTTCAGGCCTCACCTGGATGGCTTGGTAGTGCAGGAGATCATGGCATCTAGGGTGCCTTCTGTGCCTAGTACATTATTCGGCCTAGTCCAGTTGCCGGTACTGGTGGACTGGAGGGTAGGGATACCACTGGGAAGTAACTGTACCATACTGTAGTCAGCAATCAAATCAATGAGTGGATGGGAGAGAGGGTAGTTAAAGAGGTGTCGGTTGCAGATGTCTTCCCACATGGGGTGATGGCAGTTGAAGTTCCCAAGCCATAGCATGTGGTCATTGGCCATCAGATGAAGCACAGCAATGTTCTGGTTGAGATATGCTTCCAGGGCAATCAGGGTATTCTGGTGAGTACAATTGTTATAAATATTAAGGATTGTGCAGGTGCCAAAGTCACCAGTCAGTTGCACAATGACTACGTCAGATGAGGGAAAGGGTATCTGCTGCCAAGTGTTAGTGTCTAGTGAGGAGTTGATGAAGGTGACTGCACATAAGCATTCCTGTGGGTGTGTGAAGTGGTTAGTGGGATATAGGACATGCCAGCAATGACTGGCACAAGTATCACAAAGGAAGTTGATATAAGGTTCTTGAATGACTAAAAGATCATGGTTAGTAATATCACAGCCATTCATTAAGGATTCTTGGGCTGATAGAGAGGTGTTAAGGTTCTGCTGCCAGATTTTTAGGCTAACTGGGGTAGATGTAGGTTGTTCAGACATTAGAGGGGGAGGTGTTAGGGTCCGCACTGGGGGTTGAATAAGTAGAGGGAGAGGGAGGTGAGGAAGCAGAGGAGGGGGGGAGGGGGGGAGTGGCATTCATCAGCATCAATGGGGGGTCTGGGGTTGTGTATTGCGGTTGGGTAGCTGGCTGGAAGGTGAGTGTTAATTGTTTGCTAGGGAGGGTCTGGTTAGCAGTAGGTGTGGGGGTCAGCGTATATGGTTCCACTGGTTGGGAAGACAGGGGATGAATGGGTACAGAGGTGGGTGGTCTGGGAGAGCAGGTCACTGGGTAGGCTGCTGGGGTCCAGGTAGAATTCATAGGGAAGAAGGGAAGCTTATTCTCTGGGTAAAGATCATTCAAGGCTTTGCATCAGTGGACAAATTCCAGGCACTTACAACTCCAACTGGTGTGTCCCTGGCTCTTGCAGTTCACACAGCATTCCGTGCGGAAGGAGTTGCATTGTGCAGTCCAGTGATGCCCACTGCAGGTGCCACAGACATCGTGGGGAGAGGAGCAGGTACAGGCCATGTGTCCAAATTTCTGGTATTTAGCACAGCAGATGGGTTCCTTGCTGTTCTTGCTGATAGCATAGCAATGAGATCAATACATAACCCTTCCTTTAGGATGTTGTTGGCAGTTTCATTGTCCTTGATTTGGAGCAGGGTGAAGGCAGTACATTGCTCCCTTGTGCAACATTGAGGAGGCTTGATCCACTGGATGGAGGCAATGGAGTTGGGAGGAAGGTAGTCCTCAGCTTTGATGTGATGTGTGAAGCCTTCACGTTTGATCTCATAGGTGACAAGAAGGAATTGGACAACTATGGCATAGGTCATGTCACAGATACAGGCAGTCAAGTCGAGGTGGGTTTCAAGCAGCATGCAGCCTGTGGAGCCTTTGAGCCAGCTTGCCAATTGCTCACTATCCAAGTCTATCATCAGTCCTCCATTGCGAAGATGTTGTACTGCTTGGATGGCACCCATGGGGGTGCCATCATTGCAGATCTCAACAAGGATGTCAGAGATTCACTTCGCTATGGAGGCGTTAGTGGCTTCTGGGGGAAAAAGTGAGTGGTCCTGTTACAGTTACGCGTACCCCTATTCATTTTTCCCTTTCTTCTGTTGTATTATGTCATGACTGCGCCACTTCTTATCACGCCATCACTAGACTTGTCTCTTGACTAATCTGTATTACATCACGATCGCCGCTGCCGTCGCTAGGTGACTCACTCTTATCTCTGACTCGACTCTTATCTCTGACTTGTCAATGACGTATACGTACCTGCCCTAAAGTACTTATGTCTATATAAACTTGGTCATGTACTTAGTAGATCTTCACTTTAATCTTACTAGGTTTTACCAGAACTTCCTTCGCTTAAGACCCCAATCTTAAGTTGTCTAGATACCGATATTCAAGTCAAAGACACTCTCTTTGACTTGTCTTAAGAAGCCTTACATTTGTAAGGCCTTGATTCAACGTCAGCCGTCGCTCTTATCAAGCTGCTGACTGTTGCAACTATCCTAGTTCGTAACAGGCCCAGCATTGGATCAAGCAGGATCTGTTTGGCACAGAGGGAGGCCCTGGCCACTGCCTTGTCAAATGGAGGAGGGAGGTGAGTGGCCGCTACTGAACTATATGTGGGATGGGTGGGAGGGGGCATGGTGGGTTTTGCTTGCAACAGGGGGCCAGGGTGCTGGGTGAGGTGTGAGGTGAGGTTGTTGAGGTGGTCCTGGGTGAACTCCAGAGAGGGTGTGAGTAACTTGTAAGAGTTGTTGCAGTCTTTGATTGATTCGTAGAGAGTGTCTACCACATCTTCAATCTGTTCTGCTGCTGTTTTGAGGTCGTTCCTTTCTTCCTCCTTCTCCCATTCAAGTGAGTTCCTGAGGTTCAATGAGTGTGCCAATGCATCTCTTATGGTCTCTGCAGTGGTGTGGATGGTTGCTACTTGCAGGGCAATGGCTGCAATTACATTATTCACAATGTTGGTTGAAAGGGAGTTGGAGAGTTGTTCGGCTGCAGCTTTGGCGACAACATCCGCAATTTCAGATGCAGCCTGGTGTTTAAGGATGAAGGCCATCACCCAGATGGTGTTGGTGACAGCAAGTGGGATTGGCTTGACCATTTGGGTGATTTGGAACAGTATCCCTGTCAGGTGCAGCAGGGTGAGCAGTTTGTCAGCTTGGCATAGGAGGACACTAGCTAGGTACTTCTCTGCAGATTCTAAGTTCATTACTGCACCTGGAAGGGCTTCAATATCATCCTGATGCAAATGGTTCCTTGGGATGGTGGTGTTGGCCGCTAAACTTTTCTTGCCCATTGGGCTTTTCTTTTCCAGTGTCTTTGCTGGCACCATGAGCTATATGGTTAGTATCTAGAGACTGTTTTTTGAGGTTTTTCAAGGGTTTTCTGGGTGAGGCTGGGTCAGTTGGTGTCACCATTGGGCGATGTTGACACCATTGAGCATGGTGATCCAGTGTGGTGTCTGGGGTCCTGATTTGGGGTGCCACTTAGTGTGAGACTAAGAAGTGATTTCGCCCTTGCAATTGCTAGCAGCATCACACCCTTTGTTGTCAGGGTGGCAAGGAATGTGAGTACCGTCGATAGCGCTGATAGCATCAGTAAAGTAGGGATAGTATTTGGTATTTTGCAGGATCTCGAGGGGGGTTGGGTCATCTCCAGCAGGTAGCCAGATATACAACTGATAGATGGGGGGGACACGAATGCATTGAGTGTATGTTTGAAATACCTTTAAAATTTCAGTGAGTTTGTCAACAAGGAGCAAGGATTAACATACTTCAAAATTGTTTCATTGGAATGTTGGAACCATTCACCAAGGTGATGAGTAGAGAACCCTCTTAGATGAATTTGAATGGGTAAATATAACCTTGGAGGTGTATTAATATTTATAACTAAATTTTCGAAATGAAGTTGATATGTAATGTATGCAGATTATAGAACAAATTCTCCCTGTTTTTGCTAAACTTACTCTGAATTTAATCAATAGAATTTGATCCTTATGCATATTTGTGATTTTATCCAGAAACTGTTCATCATCCGCACGATAGACAAATAGGTGACTATATCTCAGGATATGCGTTACATCTTTTCTGGCTGTGTCTCAGGTGTAACAAAATGTGATACTTGATATTTCTCTTGTCATGCAAGATCTCTTTGACATTTGAAATTTTACATCCACTTATATGACAACCTGATTATTAAGTATTATTTTAACATTTCGCACGACATTCAAACCAGTCTGGAATCCCCGATGTGCTACGGAAAGTCATCAAATTAGAATAATTGTTTGTTTGTTGTAGCATCAACACTTGGCTTTGTGTGATAGGGCGGGAATTCATAAATACATGATGTTCACCTTAAAATTAGTACGGTGTTATGGTACGGCTCTGCGCACCTTCACGTCGACTGCAAACCAAAGCCATGAAAACCCTCTGGTAAGTTGAAGAGCTTTCATGTCTGCGTATCCGACAATGCGTTCCAGTAGGGCCTCCCATTTCGCTCGCCCCCCGCACCCCAAATGCCCCGACGCGGCGGGCCAATCCAAAAACGCCGTATCGAGCACGTAAAGAAGGTAATCGTTGTAGCAAGCGGAAAGGGGGGTGTGGGTAAGAGCACGATAGCAGGTACGTCTCAGTAGTCACTGATCCGAACTTTGAATGACCATGAATGAAGTAAATCTTGCTTTCTCCCTTGCAATGCTGTCTCATCGACCGCGAGTTGGCATACTTGACTTGGACATTTTTGGACCTTCTATACCTACCTTGATGGGACTCCAGCATTCGGACGACCCACATTTAACTCCTGGTTCGTTTCCTGGCACACACTGAACTTTTAGGTGACCTTGTTACTAGCTGGCGCTCTCGTCCCCATAATCAATCATGGTGTTCCTACCATGTCTATGGGCTACCTTGTCCCTCGGCCACCGCCTGACTCCACAGAATTTGAAGGTGCAATTGTCTGGCGCGGCCTTATGGTTCAAAAAGCCGTGCAGCAGCTCCTCTTCGATGTCGACTGGCGGGACACTGGCGGATCTGGTCCTGGGCTGGACGTACTAATCATAGATATGCCTCCAGGGACGGGAGATGTCCCCCTTACACTGGGACAATTAGTTGTCGTTGACGGTTCGCTTCCACGAGCTCTTCAAATGCTGTTCGCCGTCTAAAATGAAATAGGCGCAGTCATCGTTTCAACTCCACAGGACGTCGCGCTAGCAGATGTAAGAAGAGGAATCTCTATGTTCAAAAAGATCTCCGTTCCAGTAAGTATTATATATACTGTCTTTCGTCCTCACTCTCATTGTGTTCTTTACCATCTGCAGATAACAGGCCTCATCCTTAACCAAGCGTCCTTCATGTGTCCTTCTTGCAACACGGTGCATGAGCTATTCGGGACTTCAGCTAATGCGTCGCGCCTCGGGATCCCTCTCCTAGCGCAACTCCCTCTTGTTGGGGGTGTGAGCTGGGGTGGAGATCGCGGCACTCCATACGTCCTTGAAGGAAACAGAGGTGGAAAAGACGGCAGGGCGGGAGAGATGTGGCGAGATGCGATGAACGGAGCGGCAAGCAAAATTTGGGGATTAGTTTACAGTTGAGTGAGTACTACTATGCAAGATCCCTCTGTACCTTGCCTCGGCATAGCTAAACCCTCACTAGCCCTACCTGTCACATTACTGATTGTTACACGGAAATGCTGTGTTCTATTGCATCTGCCATGAATAATAATATAACTGCAATACAAGAAATGAGTCCGAGTGTGTAATTGCACAATATAAACGGTTAAATGGGACTGGGCCAACAGACCCGTATCAACACACTGAGAATCCTCCAAAATCCAAAAACGCCTCCTCCAGTGACATTTTTCGAACAACAAGCGCCTCGACGATCAGCCGAGGTTCTAACATTGCCGCCTCGATCTCAGCAGTAGGAGATTTGGACGAAGTCAACATGATCTCAGGTGGGGAGGCCAACTTGTCTGTAACGGACTGGTGACAATACGTTTCCGCAAAAATAGAAGAGGGTGACCCAGAGCATACTTCGACATCTCGGGGGTCTGTTTTGGAGACAATAAAGTCAACCGCTGGAACGTAGACAAGGGAATTGAGGCTACCTTCGAGGTGTGCATCATCATGCACTGAGGTCTCGATTTCGGGAGGCGCGGACGCCACGCGCAAGTATTCAGGCTCAAGTGTGACGTGAAAGTATTCCAGGCCTGAGACAAGCTCGCCCCTTTCCTCGGTATTAATGGTTGGAACGTGCATGAGATGAGGATCACGCTTGGCCTCACGTCGCTTGTCTCTTGCTGCGCGGCGCTTTGATTGTTTACTGTCAGTCGCTGAGTGGATTGGGGGCTCAGTTGGGTGTGTATGGTTGAGAACATTGGAGTAGTGCAAGTGATGTGTATGATGCTCGAAATGTGAATTAGGTTGAGTACGGGTATGCGCAAGCAAATGTTTAGGTTTCTTGCCCTTGCCTTTGCGCCTATCCGAGTGGCCTTGCATGGTGCTCGCAACACGGCGGCGGAATGGGCGAGGTTTATACACGGTCGCAATTTCGAGGTCCAGCGTAAGTGCCGCGCCGTCTGATGACGAGTCACCTTTCTCATCGTCCATGCAGAACACTTCCACATGGCTGCTTGTTGTTGCAAGATCATCGTCCGCATCAGCAGTCTCCAGTTCGGTCTCCGTAGTCGTTGTTGTCTCTGAGTCCTCGTTCATCAATTGCCTACGTCTCCTTCGTTTGCCTCCATCCCCGCCCCAGTCTTCAATGACTCCGCTCACCTCCGCTGGCACCTCAATCTCCTTCACCACTATAACACTAGCGCCAATCTCGCCAGCCATCTCTTCCAGGGTACCCAATGTTTCCTCCATCTCCCGCCTCCCCAGCCCTATTAGTACGCCGGAGTCAGCCACACCAAGCTCGTAGTATGCTTGTCCACCGCCTTCCAGAAGACGCCATTTAAGTTGTGTGACAAGATGGGTGAAACGAGAGGGGGAAGGAGAAAGGAGATGAAGCTTGTACTCTACATTACCCTGTGAGTAGTAATTGGTAGGAAGGGTATTAGCGCATGCAGTAAACAGTAATAAAACGCACCTCTTCGCTTTCCGGAACTAGTTGCGGTATTCCTCGTCGAAGGATTTCGTTGCGTGTTGGTGTTGGAGGTAAGGAAGTGAGTATGTCCCATGGGGAGGGCACTCGTGGGCTCTCCGAGTCAGATTCACCGAACATTCGGGACTCTGTGTGCTCGGAAGATAGACCTAATGCGTTTAGAGAATTAAAGATGCAGATAAGTTGTTCAGTGTATTCGAGTGATCATCGCTGTCCGTCCTTACGAATCTGCCAACAAGCTACAGTAGTTCACTCAGAAGTTATGTAAATAAATGAAATGAAATTAATTCGAGTGAGTCACTGTAATGTGAGTCACAATAATGACTTGTATGTAGCAGTATAACCTATCAAAATCAAAATGACACGCTACGTCCCACATGTCCTTGGCACTACTACCGACACTGATTAGTATTTCATTGGTAAGGAGTATGCGACGACCCTGGTTGACAATGACAGTGATAATTCCGCATTGGATGCCGACACACGACACTCGTGAGTTGTTCTAAAAGTTTCCTTATCTAAGCAAGCCGATGGCGAGCATAGATTTTTGTCTATGTGATGATACTACTGTAAGTCGCGGACAAACAAACTCATCGGTATCTCAACTGGGTGATTTTTTGAGGTCAGTCTGACCCCAGATTTGAATTCAGAGCCTCAAAAGATGTCTAAATTAGACCTGGTCAATTCTAAAATGTCGTTGTCAATGTTGACTTGACCGTATGGCCATCAGCTAAACCTTCGCATGGGAGACGTTCTGCACCTTGTCGCAGAAGAGCAGAAGAGCATCCTCCTAATCCTCACTGTATCCTAAGCCTTCCCATGCAGTATTGCTAAACCTTGTCAGGCATAGTAGTATTTCTAAATTTTTTCATGTTTTATTGCCAAATGTCCTCCTAAACCTTTTATTCGTCATACTTGTAGTCTGCTAGGGCCGCCGGCCCATCTGTTTTGCTCAGGCAAGTTTTGAGCAGTTAAGCGATTTTGCATGCAGTAGTCACACTTCCAGTACTAATGAGAAACGTTTAACTGGAATATTAAGACTAGGGAAAGATTTAGAACTTGGGGAGCAATACTACATGGAAAGGTTTACTAGAAACAATGCATGAAAAGGTTTAGGTAGCTAACTTTGGCTCTATACAGCGAGGATACTCTTCTGCAACAAGGAGCAAAACGTCTCCCATGTGAAGGTTTAGCCGCGGTGCATGGTGGCCAAGGTTTAGGGTCCGCTTAAGTAATTTATGAGAGGACCGCCGTAAGGTCAAGGCGACACTAACAACGACATTTTAGAATTGATCGGGCCTGATGATTCCTGCTAGCAACGATCCTCCGTATAAAGAACTTTTTCGCAAGGATCGTCTGGCATTCACCGAGCATTTCACAGCTGCCATCCGCTCTTTTAGCCTGTCTAATGACTCGGACATCCCGGCTCGTTCGCCTTTCCTGATGACAGACGATGAGCTACAGACTTTCCAGTTGTTAATCAAGAGTAAGAGTGTTTACACTCATTGGGTAACAAAGTACGCCATTCGTATTGCTCGATATATCGAGGCAGCTACTGGGGCTCTGGATGCATTTGTCACGGCTCACTCTGAGATGGCAGAAGTCCTCCCTGTACATCTTTATTTATATGAGGTGCAGGAGGGTGGATCTATTCCAGAATAGGGTTGCAGTAGGTATTTACCCTTGTTTCACTTGATCTTATATTTGATAAGGATGCGCGCCTCCAGTGGTGGGCTGCATGGTTTCTCGTGTTGGGCCGGGCCCGGATCTGGCGGAAGTCCTGGTGGGGGTGCCCGGGATCAGACATGAGCCCCCCTCGATGCGCGCGTGGAGTTGGATCTCTGGATATTGTGAGCAACCAAGGGTGTGCCTGCTTCTGAATAGGCTGAGCGGACTCGCTGGTTCATGAGCTGGAGCGATCGACGTCACTTCAGAATTCTCCACGCCGGATGCATCTTTGTCATGAATACATTGAGAGTCTCATGGTAGTCGTGATATGTCCACGGGGATTGTGCAAAATTTCCAAGAGTGAAATCGACCAAGTATAGCTACGCATACAGATACAGGAATAAAATGCGGTACGAGTTCTTTGTCAATTCTTAACGCCACTTGATAACACGTGTTCTAATCATAGAATACCAGAGCTCTCAGCTCGATGGATTCCCGAGGCGGCGTTCCCTCTGGAGTGTTCGGGTCTTGGAAGCCAGTGTGAGGGGTCAACCTCGCGACACTACCATCCTGTATTGAGTCAGAGCTGAGACCCTTTTAGCACGACCGAAAGCTCCCCCAAGTTACTTCGCTCACCATTTGATAAGAACATACTCTTCTGGGGACATTGCCTTCATATATTTCCACTGGTGGTTTGGGTTGTATTTAACTCCAAATGTCTCACCCTCGCGGTCAGGGTATATATGAGCGACGGGCACCAAGTCTTTCTGGAAATCGACACTGCGGAAGTCGCATAGTGCAAGCGGCCAATCTACAGCTGCATGCGATATAGGTCGCCAAAGGTTTATTATTTGGAAGCGTCTGCGGAGGAGGGAATGAGCTTCTGTTGGCGGGAGGTGCCTATGAACACGACCAATGGACGCCGCAGGCGTTTGGTCCACATGAACCCGAGAGACTGGTTGACGTTTCTGTGGGTTATAGTTATCCAGCTCGCCTGGGCGACGGCGACGAATAGCTGTGATATAAATTAAGATCGAGACGTCGTTTCAAATTAGTGATCGACGCACTGTGATCAAAGACGATAACTTTGGTTGCTCCCGTGACCCTCTGGATGAGGTCGATACTCTCAGGGTAGTATTCGCGCTCAATCTCATCATCATTCAGGAAGCTAGTATGCTTCGGCGCTTCTCGCCCATACTGAAATCCAGCATTGTCAAGCTTGTAAAGTTCCTCTTTTCCGCGCACGTCCTCGACTTGCATATCATGCGGGTCCTCGATCCAGTTGCGAGCCGGCTTTTCTGTGGCACTATCTGCATAGACTCTATTGTAGGGCCGAGAGCCGTCAGGTGGAGCGAGTAAGTAGTTGAAGATGGCAATGGTGTCAGAACTCATGGTTAGTCCGTTGGTGCTGGATGTAAAGCAGAATGGAAGCGTCCCTGGTATCACAAGTTATATCCTACTTGTATGTCTTCAAGGCCCCAGGAAGCCGTTTGACTTACATATCATATGATCAATCTTCCTGGCCAAATATTGTCAATGTGGATGAAAATATCTCATACACATATGACGCCACCGAACTGCGGGATGAGCGATGATCCAAAGTTGTAGAGCTTCTTATAAACTTACCTTAATTACTAAGTCTCCCTCATCAGCTATCTCCGTTGGGGCGAGAATGATCGACTTCGTAGCCAAAAACACCGTTTGACTCGTTGAAACTGCTCTGGTATACATATAACGTGCTCAGCACCAGTAATTATTGATGACGCTGACCATCAACGTTGAAAACAGGCAACATAAGTAAACTCTATGCAGACCACCGGCCGGTGAAGCCTGGAAATATGTCTCTCAAAGGTTGAAGAAGACAAGATCCCACTAAAGGCATAATTTATCACACAAGGCCGAGCATGTAGCTGCCAAGCAGTATGGAACTATAATGGGAGATCATGAGTGATGACAGGCTCGAGCTATGTAATATCGGACGCAAGGGTGTAAAGACCATAACAAACAAATGACGCCATGCCAGGGTGCCTCATTGTAGGCGTGCCAGGCCGCGAGGGCAACTCATCCAGTTTCTGCAGCCAAGGATCGACGCGAGCAGCGTGAAACTCGCACAGGGACTTGAAATGGTCACAGGGAAACGTGCATAGATAGTCCATACCTGCTACGATATTTGCGGAGTGTAAAACCAGCCAAGCTCGATCGAGTTGTAAGTGCAAAACGGGTGCACAGTATTAATACAACCGCCGGGAGCCATCGATATTCAATGCAGAGCCACCTGCCAAATCGGATGGCATGGATGGAGTACAATGAGGAAGTTGCACGGCACCAACATGAGCCCTATAGCTAGGCATGAGTTAGGTCGTAGAATTATGAGTAGTGCTCAGTCCAATATCCCGCGAGACGTGGAGGAGAACACAATTCAGAAAGCGCACGAATCTACGCATAAATGAAGACTCCAATGGACTGTAGACGTCTGTCCGGGTATACCTAGGTTACTGATAAGCAGTTACGAAGATAAATAACGGTCGAAGCCAAGTCGAAAGCCGCAAGCATTGATAAGATTTGGCAACAGAGAGATCGCCCAGAGACAGGTAGACCTATAGATGTACACAGCGCTTTAAAACCTAACCTAACGGAACGTTGCGGGTCGGCTATTTTCGCGCTGTTCCTTGACGACGTTACTAACCTCCTCGAAGCATTCTGATCGATAACTCTCGCCACCCACACAAGAGTCCGTGGTATGTAATTTTACTGTTTTTCTATCTATTCCAGCTTCTGATGAGCTCGTTTTATGCTCTTATTTCCCTAGACTCGTCTTGCTGCCCAGTCTGGCAATCCCTCCAAGTCCATGGCAGGTCCCCTCCCGCATACGGACATCCTTGACCAGCTCATCCGGTAACTCCTTACCACTGCCGGTCAACAATATTCTTTTTTTGCCACCAGCTTCTGCGCAAATAGTCTGAACAGTCGGGGTACACCTTTAGGTTGATCGGGTGCAAATAGTATCGGTCAAAATTACTAATCTGCGCAGATTTGAGGCCTAGAAATTGGTAGAATGACAGGTATTCATTTTACTAGGTATATACGACAAAGCATACAGAAGCTCTAAGTTTAGATTTGATCCAGATAATGATGGATCATTCAAGCAGCCTTACATATGTTAAATTATAAAGGGAGAAGGAAAATGACTCTAATCCACACGTGGACCCGCCAACCTACGCTCTCTTGTACATCACCCTCGTATAATTTAAACGCCTTCTGGAACATGCCTGCGAGCTTGCGGACCTCGTGCTCGAAAGCCTGCTTGTCCGTCCAAGCAAGAAGCGGGTTAAGCACTTCACGCGGAACACCATCCACTTCAGTAGGAATCTGGAGCCCAAAGACGCCGAATGTCTCGTATTCGCTGTCGAGAAGCTCCCCAGAGTGTACAGCATCGACAATACGACGCGTTGTACTTGAGTGGGCAGCGCTTGCCAGTGCCAAACTTGCCACCTGTCCAACCTGTGTTGATTAACAGCAGGATACGTTGTTTTTGGACATGCGCTCAGCCGCATTTCTGCGT